TTTCCCATTAATGAATTAGTCTCATATTTTCCTTTTTATATATAGCGTAGCAGAAAAGTACACATTGTAAAGTGTTCAAAAGAGTGGCTACATGAGAAGCATGTTGTAACAGCGCGACTGAACGAGAGTTTCTTGATTTTGACCCAGTGGTTCCATAAGAGATGCATCATGCTGTGAAATCTGGTCTTGGAGGAAACATGCGTTATTCGACATAATCCAGCGTATGGTACTCTTTATGTGGTACTATATAAGGATAACCAGCTCCTCGACATAGAGTGGCGGTGACTCTAGTGGACGATATGATGCATGGTCCTCAAATACCATGGAGCCGTCGCCTGGTTAAATGGCGATGTTAAATAATTTGACCAATAATTTTGGTTAGAAAGATCTGCTTGGAATCGCACGAACTCCCTAAGACAAAACCATGATCTTGTGATTTAATGACTGAACATATGGCCAAACTCCTTCTGTCTAGTTAGGTAGGTCCTGCTGCTCTGGAATATAAAAAGCGAGTTAGGTCTTTTGTTGCCTCATAGGCGTGTACCACCCTCTAAGGTATGAAGTCATACGCCGGTTAATGCATCGTTCTCGATGAGTAAGAGATTGCCCAGCAACAATAAAATTATTCGATGTCAATCTAACGTCGAGGCGTTCATCATGAGGCAACCATAAAATGTTTAGACGCCCCCCCCACCGCCCAGGCACTAGAAGCAAGTGCGAAGCAAAACCTGCGAAACTCAGTTTTAGGTGAGATTTTCCTACCAAAGCCTTTGGAATATGACATATTATTGGAAGTCATACCCTGGATCACTGATTGAAATAAAGGATGATTGTTAGTGGTCACTTATCGTCATAGCTTCAATCGTCTGTGATCGTCTGCTGATATTTTTCGGTTTTCTGCCACATTGAAACTGTGACTTATTTATAGGGTAGGTGATCAGGAAAATGATGAGGAATTGCTGTGGAAGCAGATCTTGATGGCAGACCCGAATCTGAAAACCGCTTTGCAGCTGAACGCCATTATTTACGAACAGTCGTTCAACAGCGTGATGGTGGTGATTAATTTGCCTTCTGCTCCCGGAACGCTCGACAATGTTACGATGTACATGGATTACATTGAAATAATGATCAATGGACTTAAGCTTGTACTGATGGTGCGAGGCAGTGGCAGAGAGGTCATTTCCATTTACTGATTCGAGGTTATGCATTTTCGAGAAACAAGACTCGTTAATATCCCATGTCCGATCATTCAGATGTTTGTGGATGTATGATATGCCATAAGTGATTACCTCGATATTGATTTGAAATGCGCAGAACGAAATTAATGTGCTTAGTTGCTTGAATAACATTTATCTAAGCTTCGATGTTCAGACTGGTTCGAAATCTGTTCTAGTCAGGAGCTGGGTGAGATTCGTTTCCATTCATTTTGTGGTCGGTATAGAGACTGTGAGATTATGCCAAGATTATGTGTCGTTATGACAAATTAAATCGGTTATTCTGAATGCAGTGTTTGAGTGAGCTGACAGTCGAGGATGAACTCGCATCGGAGCCGAAGAGCTGCAAGCGTCGGCCAGGAGGCCAGGGTACACCCTGAAGGAACAAGGTAGAAGCAGGTCTTCTTTCGGAAGGAATTATTTCTTCTGCGATACGGTAACCAGAACCTCATAACACAAATGTTATAAAGCTGCCAATTGCAGCTGATATTGCAAACCAGAGACGTTCTGTCAATGTAAGCGGCTCAGAGCGATGATCACTGACTTTTTTGCACCTAACTCAGTTCTCCAACAGTCTGCGCGGCCCTCGGTAACCTAACGACGACTTAGCCGGTTTGAGTTTCTATAACGGCAATACCATGATGAGCAGGTGGTTCAGTTGTACCAGACCTGGTTTGGGTCTGGTAGCAGCGAAGTTCGGACTTAAGTGAAAAATTGCGATGACGTGTCATCAGCCTTACTTTGGTTGATCGATCGTAACTCATAGTCGAGAGCTCCGTGGTATAAGTTCCCGATGATTAACTGTCCCTTGTTGCTTTCGAGGTTGATCAGTATCAACTCTCTAGGAAAGAAGCAGAAAACTACACGCTGTAGTGGTGTCTGAGTTGTAAATATAGCCTTTAAATGAAGAATGTGCAATATATGACACTTCTCGACCAATAGCCAAAGATCAGCGTCGTATCGTGAATATAATGAAAAGAATATTGTCATAATTTGCGGATAATGATAAAAATATTAGCGATTATAATACCTATAATAGTTATAAGCAGTTCACTTATAATTCAGTGCCGGATTTGCATGGCGAAACGCACCGCTACGTGTTTCTCTTCAATTTTGGGGACCATCAGTGCGGAAAACGGCTCCATTGTATTTAGGCGCCTGAGTACATCAGATATACCGTTTTTCCGTGTTTGGTTGAACAAAGGTACCCTACAAACTGGCGTGCTGCCAGGTTACAGACTTCCCGTTTTCTTCGTTTGAGTCAAATCTGTTTCGTTTTGACTCCTAGTGTGGCAGTGTGAGGAATAGCCGCTGCTCGAGATTCGCGAAGTTACGTCTGATTGGCAAAAAATGAATCGATGACGAATGACCTCACCGCAAAGCTAACAAATCCCTGGTGCAGCAAACGAAACAGATCTGACAACTGTTGGCAACAATGGGCTCGTAGATGATCTGCATGACAGGGATTTGCAGCCGAAGGAGCAGAATTAATGCGGCATCGCATTCCCAGTTTCAAACACTGTGACATAGACTGACGTGTGAAAGGCGCGAAAAGAGATTTTCTCCAAACAGCTGACTACCACTTGATGCAAGAAAGTAGA